AACAACTAATTAGCAAAATTTCTGAACATTGCACCGTTGGTTCTCAGAGCTGGCTGCCTGCACCCACTGGGTGTGAATGACCGGTCCGGTCCCTACTCGGGGTTTCATAGCAGATATGGGATGGGTTCACCAAGGGGCTGTGGGTGAGCCTGTATATCCCGCCATGCAATAGGAAGCATTCCTTGAGTCACCCACAGAGTCCAACAGTGAGGACCTGGAACATGTAGACTGATGAACACTGAATAAGTGGAACCAGCAGGGATGAGGATCTCCTCAAATCCAGCAGGATCTCCCAAAGGGAATGGAGACCATGCCAGGGGGAAGAGAGGCCCCAGTGGAGGCTCTGGAGCCCCTGAGGGTTTTTGAAAATGACTCCTTTGATCAGGCTGCAAAACTCAAACCTGGGGGGAAAGAGGTTGACTGTGGCTACAGTTTTATCAGAAAAAAATATGCAAAAAGATTAGTATTTGATTCATTCTTTGTTTGCTTAAGAATTGGGGTACATCTGCCACTATAACCCAAACGTTAGACAGGAAATAAAAACTTATTTTCATCACATTTAACTTTACTTTTCTAGAGAAAACCCTCATTGGGCCTTTTTTTGTTTTGTTTTGTTTTGTTTTTTAGAAGAAGTGGCAAGTATATGGCTGAGAGGAGGGGCCCTGGTGCAGGGTGACCTGATCCAGTCCTGATGATGCTGATTTCTACATGGGCAACCACCTTTCTGTGCCTCTGTGTTTTCATCTGGAAAATGGGGCGGTGATGCAGTAGTGCCTGTGTTTTGGAGAGTACATGATTTAATACACATGGAGTACGGGAAACAGCGCCTGGCCTAAAGTGAATCCAAGGTAAATATTTGTTAAGTAAATCACAAAGCATTTGTTGTGAAACTTTGGTACTCAATTTAATTGAATTTATCTTGAATGGGCTTTTTAGTTGTATGGGTTGTCCTCAGATAACAATGGCCTTGTTTCATTACACGTGGTCCTGGCTGGGAAGAAAAGACACAACAGTGTGATAAGAGGGGCCTTGGGGGACCTGACCTGGGCCCTGGGCCAGGGTGAGGAGGTGTTGAGGACACAGGAGAATCCCCCAAGGAGGTGACATCCATCTGAGACCTAATAGGTGACGAGGCTCCTGGAGGTAACTGGGTGAGGATTGGGGTGGGGGTGGGGAACATATCAGGAGGAGGGGACATGTGCCAAGGCCCTGAGGTTCCAGGAAGCCTGGTCTGTCCAAGGCCAGCGGAGAGGCCAGTGTGGCCATGACTGAGTAGACACAGGGATGAGTGGTGGAAGGTGCGACTGGAGGGGGTCAGGGACCCGTGGGGGTTTGGACGTCATCCTGAGGGCCAAGGGCAGCCTCTGTGGTGTGATGGGTCTGATCTTTCTCTTTGGACGTCCCCATGGGAGGGCCTCCTTGTCTAGGGCTGACCCTTTCCTCCCCATTCCCACCCTGGCCTGTTTCACAAGTAAGAACCTGCGTGGGAGGGGAGACCTCTGTTTTAGGGCCTTGGCCACACTTCAGAAGAAAATCTGAGAAGACTGATTTTCAGGAAATGCTTGGCTGGGAAGTCTGCCATGGGAAGCGGGCGTCTGAGAGCCAGGTCAGGACCCTCCTGAAACACGCGGGCCTATCCAGGGAAGTGCCAGGGGTTCAGAATGAACACATCTGGCTTTGGGAGCATCCAGTGGGAAGCAGCCCACACTGGGAAGTGCAGATTTTACTGGAGCTGTAGGTTTTCGTGAGGAACTTGGGGGGTCACTCAGGCATCTGCCTGCAAACAGCTGCCTGCCCATGGTGAACATCTAGGGACCAGGTCCCGGGGCTTCTCCTGGCTGCCCTGCCTCTGGTTCAGTCCCAAGAACAAGATGGTGTCGCTGACCTTGCTCTCAGACACCTGCTTCCCACGGCAGAGTTCCTGGCCTGCCTGCAAAGTGCTCACCACACTGTTGTAATTCCTCAGAGGTGAGCACGAGCCTCTCCGTTTCATCTGTGCCTATTATGGACGCATTAACTATTTCATGAAGTAACACAAGTAGCATTTGGAGTAAAAAAAATTAACTAAAAATAGGCGAAGCAGTGAAATTTAGTGACAAGGATGCTCACGAATAATTAAGAGGCCGACACAGGACCGCATTTCAAGGAGATTCTCACTCCTAAGCCTGTCGCTTTTCCCTGCACGGCACAGGCAAGACCTGATTTTCCAGCAGGAAGGTTGTCTTAATTAAATCTTATTTGTCAAGAAGGCAAGATGTATTTGTGTTTCCTCGGGCTCCCATTGTTATAAACTTTGCAATGTTTTCTCTGAAAAACGCTCCTTTTCTGCTCAAAAGAACTGACTGTTGCTGTTTTTCTCTCTTCCATTGTGAGGAGGAAATGCTACAAGTTCTTTGTCAGGTAATCAATTATCCTCCTTAAAGGATCCCCGAAGTCGTCATTTGAAAATTATGGCTCCTGAAAAATAATAAAATGCCCACTTTAACATATTGTTGCATGTCAGAGTGAGTTTCTCTCCCCTGCAGAGTCATAGAGCCTGTAAATTGCCCATGGTAATGACCTCTGGCTCCAAATGCAGTCACCGGTCTCTGCACAGATAGACACTGTCTGTTACTTCTGGGGTTTCGCTATTGACACTGTGTCTCTTTTAGCTTCTAGGAAGCCCTGTAATGATGCTGCAATTAGCAAAGCATCCTTCCTTCTCTCCCAACTCCAATTGCTCTAATTTATGTCCCTCGACAATACTCACACCAAGCACGCCATCTGTACCACTGTGTGGGGAAGGAGGTTCTCAGGTTCAAGGTCTCAGGGAGGTAAACACAATTTCAAGTTCACAGATGTCCTCAGCAATCAACATCAACTACCCCACCAAGAAAGCAAGACCTTGGTGTTGTTGGCGAGTAGCAGGTAATTGATGAGCTTGTCAACATGATCTATGGTCCCTGATCTGTATCAATATGAAATGAGAAACCATTTAAGAGGTGTGAGGAAAACATGGCAGGCCCCCACCTTCTCCTCCCACCCTTTGACAATGACTCATTCACATATGAAATTGAGTCTTTGTGATGGTGAAGTGTTAAATATCCTGTGTAGTCAAATTACTATCATGGAACCAACAAGTGGAAACAGGTTGTTAAATGTCCCTGGTTCCTCCTCATTCAAATGGGTAGAAGAAAACAAACAGAAAGCTTAGATGCAAATGTGACTTCATGCCCAAGTGTTCGGGAGAACCAATATACGTCAAGAAAGGAAAAGCTGGGTGGTGCCCCAGATAATTCAGGTTAAACAGACTCTTATCAGAAGATCAAAGACATCCAGGCACAGCTTGAAGATGCAACCATGGTCCATCCATCATGTCTTCTTGTGAATGAGCTTCAAGTTTCTTGCCAACACAAGGACATGTTTAATGTCCATGTGACATTTGGTGGGAATGCTAAAGCATCACTGAAATTCCTCAAGCCAAGGTGCACCTGTTCAGGTCCCAAGACCTTTTCTGAGAGCTGGGCAGACCATCTTCCCTTTCTGGGCCTCAGTTACCTCATTTATAAATGGCACAATCTTTTTAACATGACTTGGTGTTGCCCAATGCAAGATAAGGGAGACAGAAGCATAAGAAAACCTGCTTTTGCAGATGTTCTCAGAAGGGCATTTTGATGGGCATCTCAAGTGTATCCTGGGGAGAATGGATCCTGATGTTATGTAGGAATCATGGCTGTAATGAAAATTCAAACTTTCAGACTTGTCAAAAATTCCAAAAAGAGGGCTCTGAAGTGTATATGGAATATTTATATGTCTTTTTGCAAGTGCGTTACTCATTCATTCCCAAGGCATTAGGCTGTTCCACTGTAATTTACAGTTAGTTGGTTAATTTCTGCTGTAGACCCCAACATTCGGATATCCTACTTCCTTGCAAGAAGAGCCCTGATTTTCCTCAGATGTTGGGAAGCAATGTGCTCTCTGGCACTGGGGAATGGATTACCATTGGTCTGTGACAGAAGCCCTGCCCCGAGGGAACAGAGCTAGGTCCACTCCACCTGTGGACAGAGAGCTGGGGAGGGGTGGCTTTTCCAAAGGGGGCTCGGGACCCAGAAGAAGCAGCAGGTGCTGGTTGGGTAAACCAGGGGTGTCCTCCAACTCATGTCAGTCTCTCCTCCGGCTCATGGGGCATGGCCTGTGGCACCCCCTCTGTCCTGGAGAACTCAGCACTGGCCCTCCCTGCTCACTGGGGATCACATGGCTGGAGCACAAGATACCCATTTCCTGAGAATATTTTTTCCCAACACTCCCATTGCTTCATTTTTAGACACCACACTTAATTCATGTATAAATCTGAAATCACATTGAAGAAGAATGTGAGTTTTCCAAGTTCACTGAAATGGATCTGGGTTAGCAGCAGTAGCAAGCGGGCCTGGCCTTGCAGGAGGGAAGGTGAAGGTGACTGTGAACTCAGCTCCCCTCCTGCAGTGTCTCCTGCATTTCCTGGCACCGACAGTTGAAGAAGAGCGATAAACAACCAAATCTCTTTAGAAAGGCATTTGACAACATTTAAACTCCATTAGGCAGCCTAAGGAACATTGTGAATACAAAATTCATCTTGAGTTAAAGTTTCTGCCTTATTAAATTCATCTTTTCTGTAGTGGGTGGTTGTCCCTGCTACAGGTAACTGTGACCCTGGATGGCAGGACCTGTGTTCACTGTGAACCAACTTTTCCTTCGAGGGCCCTAAAGACGCTGGGTGTGAATCGCCCGAGTGGGTGGGGTCTCTCACCTGTGAGTCCTCCCACCAGGGTCCCCGTCCTTCCACCCACCTTCCCCCGGGTCTGTTTCCCTTGAGGTCTGAGCTGGGCTGCCCAGTGAGGGGTCATCCCTGCTGTGAGATGAAACCGAGGCGTGACTCCCCACCCCTATGCAGGGCCCTAGAGGGCGTGCGTGGCTTCAACCATCTGATCAAGGACGGATCTGACTCCCTGCTCAGGGCAGCAGCTCGTGGTTCGTTCAGCCCCAGCAGCATCTCGATGGGGTGACGTGAGGGGCACAGAGAACCGAGGATTGGGTCTGATGGGATTAAACCCCCAACTGGTGTCCCCGTGTCTTCTCTTTGCTGACACCAGACACCAAGAAGAAACAGCCCCAGACACACCGGTGAGTGCATTCTGAAGGGTGAGTGGGGGCCAGGCGGCCTCTGAAGGCTCCACGTTTTCAGCTTTTGCTCTTTGCAGCAGCAAACCCCCTGCTCTGGGCTGGGAATTGGTGTTTGCTAAACACACAGGTGGTCTGGAGTGATGTTTTCCTTCTTTAGCAAAGTAACACATGTTCCTTATGACAGTTAGACATGCAAAGAGGCAGGCATGTTTTTTAAGGATAAGTGAAACCTTCAGCAGGTCCACGGGGACTGAGTGAAAGGTCTCCCCCCAGGTCAGCCCCTCAGCCTCCCAGTTTCTTCTTGGAGAAGCCAGTGCAGGGCCCCGCGGTGGGGCGGTGGGTGGGAGGCAGTCTCAAGACACCGGGACACGATTAGAGGGTCTCATTTCGACCCCTGTGCACGGGTGTCACTGGCTTGGACCAGCCTTCTGGAGGCCTCCAGTGAGAAGGGGACAAACCAGGCTGTGACCCTGGCCATTTTCTCCTATGTGATTACCATTCCCTCACTGGACACCCTCTTTCTGGCCCAACCACAGAGCATGGACCTGTCCTTGTAAGCTGGCAGTTCTTGCTCCCTGGGGCTGATTTGGGAGAAACCTGACCATATTGATGGGCGGTCTGTACTTTCCCCTCCAAATAGAACCCTAGCAACTGCTGCTCTTTTATTACAGAAATGCCAGGCTCGTGGTCAGAGATGACACAACAGAGAAAGTGAGTAAAGATGGAAATAAGAATCATTCCCCTTCTTGGCCGGGCACGGTGGCTCATGCCTGTAATCCCTGCACTTTGGGAGACCAAGGTGGGTGGATCACAAGGACAGGAGGTTGAGACCATCCTGGCTAACATGGTGAAACCCCGTCTTTACTAGCCGGGCGTGGAGGGGGGCACCTGTAGTCCCAGCTACTCGGGAGGCTGAGGCAGGAGAATGGCGTGAACCCGGGAGGCGGAGCTTGCGGTGAGCTGAGCTTACACCACCGCACTCCAGTCCAGGCGACAGAGTGAGGCCCCGCCCCAAAAAAAAAAAAAAAAAAAAGATTCATTCCCCTTCCTACTCCCACACGGGGCTGCATTTTAAATAAATAAACTCCTTGATTGCATCCCTTGGGAAGATCTGACTTCCTATAACTGAGACTTACTTCTCTTAACAAGTTCTTGATGTCAATGAGAGAAGCAACCCTGGCCTGAGCCTTTAAGTCAAAGTGTCTGAGCGCAGCTGGGAACGGGCAACACGGACCTGGTTATTGTGGTCCTGATGGTAGGTTTCAGTCCTGTTTGGCCCGGGTGGTTCATCACTGTCTCACCTGTAGCTGATTTATGGAAGGTCTGAACTGAATGCAAGCAGGAAACAGCTTCACTTTTCTCCAGTAGCTGCCTTCCAGTAGCTTCTGTGAGGCAAGGCTGGGTTAGGGTGAGCAAGTGAGGCCAAATTGTGGAAGTGCTGCATTGAATACTGTCTCCTTTCCCCCTCCTCCTCCCCCTCCTCCCCCTTTCCTCCTCCCCCTTCTCCTCCCTCTCCTCCTCCCCATCTTCCCCCTCTTCATCCTCCTCTTCCTCCTCCTTTTTTCTTCTTCCTCCTTCTCCTTCTTCCTCACAAAGGATCCTGTCTTTACATTTTTAATATTTTGTTAATCACAGATTTTTTTGCATGAAGTTTGAGTTTTAAAAAGTACTGTGTTACGATGTTATTTATCATGATTATTGAATTTTTTGGTGCCCATTTAGATTTTACACCTGGGGTGAGTGTCTCCCTTGCCTCACCCTAATCCCTGCCCTATTGTTAGGTCTCAGGCCCCTGCTTCTGGATGACATTTTGGGAAGATCCCTTGGGTTTTTGTTCACTTTTATTTATAAGAACAAGTTCATTAATCATTATCACTCTCATCTAGATAGTAAAAGCCTTGGCTGGTCCAAATCTAAATTTTAATATCACATTTAATTCCAAGCTTTTCCTCTCCCCCTACCCACCTCTCACTAAGGCTTGGGGTCCCCTTCTCCGCTGTTCCTTCTGGTGGTTCCAGGACTGGGACAGGTACAGAGATGAATGTCATAGAGGGGAAAGGGTCTTTTCCTTTTGGATGCCATCAGTGACTGATGTGGAGCAGGTGAACAGATGCTGGTGCTCTTGTGTGGTGCATTTCATTCCTTCGTGTATTCATCTAGTCTTGTTCCCCCAATTCGCACCCCAGCATAGGGAGGCAGCTGGAGGCTTCTCTGTACTCCACAGGGACTGTCATTTCACTAAACCTGCAGATAGCATGACAAAGGAAATTCCACTCAGGTAAAGTGGTTTCATATACAAGCAAAGAATGATTCCAGCACAGGGCACAAAGGCCTAAATGCTGTGCAAATCCACCAGTCATTCAGTTAATCTTTGTTAAGAGACAACCTTCCTGTGGTAAGCGCATGACTTTCATCCTCTGCCCTCATGGAGTTTCCAGACCAGAAGGGAAGCCAACTATTCAAAGACTCAATAAAAATATCATCCAGTAACTGAATGTGCAAAATGCTGCAAAGGAAACATTTGGGGGATTATAGAGTTTGATCCTGGGTCAGAGGATAGGAGCTTAGGGCATAGGGAATGGAGAGAAAGTCTGTCAGAGGGAAGCGGGAATTAACCAGGTAACTGCAGGTGGTGGGAGGGGAAGAATGTTTCAGCAAAGGAAACAGCGTGTGCAAAGGACTGGGGGTGAGGAGGATGCCGTGTCTTCTTGGGACTAAGGAACATCCCACAGGCTGGAGCTGAGCAGGGCAAGAACTGGATGGGAGCTCTGCAAAGCACAGCAAGTGCCAAGTGCTGAGTTGGGCTGAGCCTGTTCGGTTTGAGGAACTGTGATAAGGCCAGGGGTAGCAGAGAGGGCAAGGTGGCCAGATGTTGCTGGGAATGTAAGCTGGTGAGGAATCGGGTCGTCCTAGAGCAAAGGGATGATATGAAAGGACTTGAGGGAGGAAAGTAACATTTGGGGATGATGCATGTCTTGGGAATCTTGGTAAAGTGAACTCATCGCTTGAATGTTAATAAGTCATTTGCATGTGTGGAGACAAATGGGACTGTTTCTATCGCTGTGATCAAATCCTCTAAAAGCACTCAATAATGATTTAACAAAGGTTATTCAAATGATAGATGGATTTCAGAAATTTGTGGTAATTAAGCACTTTAAGGTTGGCAGGGAGCAGATAGGTTACTGAAGTCACATGAAGGTGTTAGAGATATCAATTTAAAACGAAACCAACAATTTTTAGGCTTTCCAAAGTAATTTGACTGCTCTGTGTCTTTCTCAAACATGAATAGAAGATGATAATGAATACTTTGAATGTTCTTTCCTTATTTTACATCAGAATTTGTATTGAAAATTTCAACATATCACTTATTAAAGGACCTGTATATGTTGTGAAGGATCCTGTATTTTGCAGAAATTGCTAAAGAATATTGTCCTTTTCACCTGGTAGCAACTGGCAACTTTAGTTTTTTTCTTGTGATTTTAAAAGACCTGATCATTCTTGAAAATTTGAAAACATACAACTACTATAAAAAAGAAAATGAAAACCATCTATAATGTTACCACTGACATGTTACTACTGTTGGTACCCTGATTTGTCTCTTATTTAACTATTTCCTCTGAATATGGATGCATGTGTGATAAGAGTGTAAAATCCATGTTGTTGTATCCATTTTTTTCACTTCACATGAAATCACGAGCACTTTCTACACTATTGAAAATTTCAGGTAAGCATATGATCAAGTCATCCTTCAATATTTCCCTATCTGGAAAACCCGTGCACCCTTCTCCATTCCTATATTATTGGACATTTGTACTGCTTCCAGTGTTTGCTGTTGCAGTTTATGTGGCAATGATCGTATTACTACATAATCTTGGTTTGCATTTATGAACAGCTCCTTAAGATAATATCTTATGTGTGTGATAACTGCATCAAGGATTAAGTGCTTTTTAAATTTAAGCTCTTGATACATCCAGCAAATTGCTTTTGGAGACATCGGGCCTGGTGGTCCCCCACTGATGGGCATTCTGTGCTCATGTTTCTGTTGCCTCACAGGCACTGTGTTGAAGAGTGTTTGTGTTAATCCTATTTGATATGCTTTGTTATTCTTTTAATTTTCAGAGAATTCACGGCTGGGACCAGCTAGTCCATGACTCCACCTTCTTGCTTTCAAGCCAGTGAGGTGATCTGAGTCCCAGCAGCCTCATCTGCCAAGTCAACCCCTGCACTGCATTGAGAAAGCTGCAGTCAGAGATTCCGAGTGAAGACAAGCGCTGTCCCACGCCAGAGCCCAAACCTGTCCCCCGGTTGGGAAGCTGAGGAGTGATTATTTGGTTCTCGGATGCTTCGAGGGTGCCTCATGTGGTATGCGGTCAGTGCACACATCCCAGGTATGTCAGCTGCGCCCCGACCAGCCTCCCGAGTTTGGGGTGCTACCGACACAGGATGCATTTGTGGCACATCGTGATAGGCCTCCCCAAGTACCCTGTCCTGATGGTGCCCTGTCTTCTGACCCCCCCATCAGATCTTGGCGCCAAGCCCTGACAACCACTTCACCCTGGAGGCCGTTCCCAGAGCCTATTTCACGGCTCATTCAGAAGGAAGATGAGGGGCCTTTTCCATTTCCAGTATTAAATGATTTAATTCACAAGGGACTTGGTCAACACAAGTATCCCAACAGAGCCCAGGTCCTGTATCATTTGTAATTTACCATTCTGATTAAACCCAACCCAACCCCATCAAACTCCGCATGGGGTGAACCAACCGAAACTGCCCCAGAGGCCCCAGGGGGGCATCCGGCCCAGGGAACTGAGGCTGGGGAGGGGAGGGGGAGCTGGGAGTACATCTGCCTCATTTCAGGAAATCCAGTAACCTCTTAAGATGGATGTTTCTGTAGAAATACATCTGATAAATGTTTAATTACATGTTAAGAGGGACCATTATTCACGGAGCAGTCATTAGCCCCAGAGAACTTCAAGCCCCTCACCTTGTTAAGAGTCACGTTCATATGGAGATCAGCCCCAAATTCCAACATTCCCTGCTCCAGGAGGAGAGCAGCTGGGAGAGCCTGGTGAGGTCTCCATCAAAACAGTGTAACACAGGGCATCAGTGGGGTGGCCAGCGGCTTGGCTGTGGGTGGGAGATTTCAGAGAGGTGGGACCTAAGCCAGGAACCTGAATCAAGGCGCCGAGACCTCAGCCCCACCCCGACCTACCTGTTCTAAGGGTCCCTGCAGGGCTCCGTAATCCCTACCTGTGAGGGGCTCCCCTCCTGAAGCTCTTGATGCTTCCCAGGCCCCCCGAAGTCCTGCGGTTCCCTGGAGATGCTGTCGGCTCACAAGGTGCCAGGAAGAACTCTCCTGGGATGGAAGACTTGGGTGGACCCGTCCTGGGTGACAGGCAGTGGGTGTATCGCTCAGGGTTCTGAGGAGGCAGGTGACAGAATCCATTAGGTCCTGAAGCAAGGAAAAGCAGAACCAACCAGAAGGTCCCAGGAGCAGGAGTCCCAGGTCTTGGAGGGGCAGGAACTAGGGCATCCTGGGGCTCTTGGTGGCAGGGGCAAGGGAGAAGAGCTTGCTGAGGGCCGCTTAGTATAAGCCCAGGTGACTTAAGTCCCAGAAAAAACAAAATGGTGGACCCTTACCCATAGAAGGCAGCAGAGCCAGGCCATCCCTCTGCACTCCAGGAGCCCCAGGTACCACACTACCTCTCAGCCCTGCCAGGGAACTTCTCCCTTCCTCCTTTCCCTCCCACTCCTCTGGCGAATTAAGTGCTAAAAAATCCTATTACAAAAACACACTCTCAATGCCTAAAATAGCATTGTTTATTTATCACTGACTTGGCCTTATATTTGTCTGTCTTTTTGCCTCAGTCTCTAAAATGAGCACAAAATCAACATTCAAGGGAGAAGTGTGCACTGGCGTGGGGAGTGGGGAGACAGCAATCTGTCAACCAGCCTTTTCCATGTGAGAAATGTCAGCAGATAGAAATGGATTAAGTCTGCCACTGAGTTGGTTACAATCCAGAGGTGAGAGTCTTTGGAGTGACCTTTATTTGAAATATACGGCAGAGGCTGTTGGAAAGAGCGCTCTAGTGAATGATGGAGCCTGATGCATGAGGTATTTTCACTGCGAGCTCTCAAGAGCCGGCAGGAGGTGTCCATATCCTGCCACAGAGAAAGAGTTGAGTTTAAGGAATTGGCTAATGTGATCCTGAAGGCTAGCAAGTCTGAAATCTGCAGGCTGGGCAGGTTCAAGACCCGGGGAGGTTCTGTCTTTTTGCCTCAGTCTCTAAAATGAGCACAAAATCAACATTCAAGGGAGAAGTGTGCACTGGCGTGGGGAGTGGGGGGAGACAGCTTCAATCTGTCAACCAGCCTTTTCCATGTGAGAAATGTCAGCAGATAGAAATGGATTAAGTCTGCCACTGAGTTGGTTACAATCCAGAGGTGAGAGTCTTTGGAGTGACCTTTATTTAAGAAATATCACGGCAGAGGCTGTTGGAAAGACGCTCTGGTGAATGATGGAGCCTGATGCATGGTGTTTTCACTGGGCTCTCCAGAAAAAGAGCCGGCAGGAGGTGTCCATATCCTATATACAGAGAAAGAGGTTGAGTTTAAGGAATTGGCTAATGTGATCCTGAAGGCTAGCAAGTCTGAAATCTGCAGGCTGGGCAGGTTCAAGACCCAGGGAGGAGTTGGTGCTGCCGTTCAAGTCTGAAGGTCATGGAGCTGGAGACCCAGGGAGGAACTGGGGCTGCTGTTCAAGTCTGAAGGTCGTGGAGCCGGAGACCCAGAAAGGAAATGGTGCTACTCTTCAAGTTTGAGGGTCATGGAGCTATAGACTAGGGGAGAAGCTACCGTTCAAGTGGCACTTCCCTGGGTCTCCAGTTCCAAGATGCTCAAACTTGAATAGTGGTAGCACCAGCTCCTCCCCAGGTCTCTGGTTCCATGACCCTCAGACTTGAAGAGTAGCACCGTTTCTTTTCCGGTTCTCCAGCTCCACGACCCTCAGACTTGAGGGGCTGGAGACCCAGGGAGGAGCCAGTGCTGCTGTCCTAGTTTGAGGGTCATGGAGCTGGAGACCTGGGGAGAAGCTGGTGCTGCTGTTCAAGTCTGAAGATGGTGGAGCTAGAGACCCAGAAAGCAGCAGGTGCTGCTGTTCGTTTGAGAGTCATGGAGCTGGAGACCTGGGGAGAAGTTGGTGCTGCTGTTCAAGTCTGAAAATAGTGGAGCGGGAGACCCAGAAAGGAGCTGGTGCTGCTGTTCAAGTCTGAGGGTCGTAGAGCTGGAGACCCAGAAAGGAAATGGTGCTACTCTTCAAGCGTGATGGTCATGGAGCTGGAGATATGGGAGGAGTCAGTACTGCTCTTCTAGTTTGAGGGTCTGGGATCTGGTGACCCCGGGAGGAGGTGCTGCGGTTCAGGTTTGAGGGTCGTGGAGATGCTGACCCAGGGAGGAACTGGCGCTGCTTTTTAAAATTGAGGGTCATGGAGCTGGGGACCTGGGGAAAAGCCAGTGCTGCTGCTGTATTTTCAGGGTCATGGAGCTGAAGACCCGGGAAGGAGCTGATACTGCAGTTCAAGTTTGAGGTTTGTGGAGCTGGATATCTGAGCAGGAGTCAGTGCTGCTGTTCTAGTTTGAGGATCTGTAGCTGGGGACCTGCAGAGGAACTGGTGCTGCTGTTTTAGTTTAAGGTTTGTGGAGCTGGAGACCTGGGCGGAACTGTTGCTGTAGTTCAAGTATGAGGGTTGTGGAGCTGGAGACCTGGCGAGAAGTCAGTGCTGCTTTTCTAGTTTAAGAGTCTGGGAGCTGGTGATCTGGGTAGGAGCCGGTCTGCTGTTCTAGTTTTAGGGTCTTGGAGCTGGCGACCCGGGGAGGAGCGGGTGTTGCTGTTATAGTTAGGGTCATGAAGCTGAACACCTGGGGAGGAGCCAGTGGTGCAGTTCAAGTTTGAGGGTGGCAGGAGCTGGAGACTTTGTGGCGAGCTAGTGCTGCCATTGAAGTTTGATGATGGTGGAGCTGGAGAACTGGCTGGAGCCAGTGCTGCTTTTTAAATTTGAAGATCGTGAGGCTGGAGACCTGGGCAGGAGTTGGTGCTGCTGTTCAAGTATAAGGATCGTGGAGCTGGAGACTCGGGGAAGATCAAGTGCTGCAGTTCAAGTTTAAGCATCATGGAGCTGGAGAACTGGGGAGGAACGGGTGCTGCAGTTCGAGTTTGAGGGTTATGAAGCTGGAGACCCAGGGAGGAGCAACAGTTTGAGGGACGAGTAGCTGGAGACCTGGGGAGGAGCTGGTGCTGCAGTTCAAGTTTGAGGGGTGTGGAGTTGGATACCCAGCAAGTCAAGTTTGAGAGTCTTGGAGCTGGTGACCTGGGTAGAAGCCGGATTGCTGTTGTAGTTTGAGGGTCTTGGAGCTGTTGACCCCGGAGGAGCGGGTGGTGCTGTTATAGTTAGGGTCATGAAGCTGAAGACCAGGGGAGGAACCGCTACTGCTGTTTTATTTTGAGAGTCATGGCTATTGAGACTTGGGGAGGAGCTGGTGCTGCAGTTCTAGTTTGAGGTGGGGAGCTGGAGGCTGTGGGTGGAGCTGGTGCTGCTGTTGTAGTTTGAGGGTCTGTTGCTGGGGACCTCAGGAGGAGCTGGTGCTGCTGTTGTAGCTTAAGGTCCATGGAGCTGGAGACCCGGAGAGGAGATGGTGCTGCTGTTCTAGTTTGAGGGTCAGGGAGCTGGAGACTCGGGGAGGAGCCAGTGCTGAAGTTCAAGTTTGAGTTTTGTGGATCTGTAAACCTGGACAGGAGTCAGGGCTGCTGTTGTAGTTTGAGGGTCTTGGAGCTATTGACCCGAGGAGGAGCTGGTGCTGCTGTGCTAGTTTTAAGGTCGTGGAGCTGGAGACCTGGAGAGGAGCTGGAGCTGCTGTTCTAGTTTTAGGGTCATGGTGCTGGAGACCCGGAGAGGAGATGGTGCTGCTCTTGTAGTTTGTGGGTCTGCAGCTGGAGACCTGGGGAGAAGCGGGTACTGCTGTTTTCGTTTAAGGTCCGTGGAGCTGGAGACCTGGGGAGGAGCGGGTGCTGCAGTTCAAGTTTCAGGGTCATGGAGCTGGAGACCTGGCGAGAAGTCAGTGCTGCTGTTCCTGTTTGAGTCTTGGAGCTGGTGTTTTGGGTAGACACTGGTCTGCTCTTCTAGTTTTAGCGTCTTGGAGCTGTTGACCACAGAGGAGCAAGTAGTTACTATTATAGTTAGGGTTGTGAAGCTGAAGACTAGGGGAGGAGCCGGTGCTGCTGTTTTGAGGGTCGCAGATATTGAGACTCGGAAAAGAGCGAGTGCTGGAGTTCTAGTTTGAGGGTCTGTAGCTGGGGACTGGGGAGGAGACAATGCTGCCATTTTAGTTTCAGGTCTGTGGAGCTGGAGACCCAGGGAGGAGCCAGTGCTGCTGTTGTTTAAGTCTGAGGGTTATGTAGCTGGAGACCTGGGAGGAGCCTGTCGTGCTGTTTAAGTCTGAGGTTCGTGATGCTAAACATGGTGCCGGTGTTGGGGAAGGAGAGAGAGAAGAGAGGAGAAGAGAGAGAGAAAATGAATCACAGGATGCCACTTGAAACCACAGCTGTAACTTTCTCAAGCAGGTTAAACCTGGGAACTTGTGAGTCCTGGTGATCAATGCATTCTTTTCTCTCTTAAACAGTTTGGATTTCTCTTCTATCTCACAAGTCAGAAAGACCCTGATTAATGCCCTTAGAATTTGAGAAGCTTAAGAAAACTAAATGATGATTGTAATAATAATAATAATAGGAATTATACCATAATTATCCTGACTGAGAGAGACAAAAATCACACACACACAATATGTCTTTTCCATCAGTTAGTAAAATAAAAAATAAATGGATAAATAAACCCAAGCAAAGCTATAAAATGTTGTTTTGTGGAGAACGGATGGAGGACAGAGATTAGTCTGAGAATTGCTACTAATGGAGAAACTTCACACTTACCATTTTTCCTGTGAGGTTTTGGTGCAGAATGATATTGTGTGAGTTCTGGCAGCCAAGTCACTTCGCACAGCCCGGTGATGCCGTAGGTGTCACAGAAGGACCCTCTCCCAGCTGGTCCTGCCTCTCTGCTACGATGAGTGTGGCTTCTGATCCCCAGCAGCTGACTGTGTCTTAATACCAGGCCCATGAGCACAAGGGTTTCCATGGTGAAGGTTCCTGGATGGAACACCGTGGATGTTGCTAATGTTCCTTCCTGATGTTCATCTGCCATCTTGCTATTTAATGCATCTTGTGTATAACTGTCTTCTAAATATTAAATAGAAAAAAGCATTTATACCATATGGGTAAAGTATAAAGAATATTGACACACTGGACACACAGGACCTCCATCAAGTTTAGGGAATAGAATCTGAAGAGACATAACTTTGGATGCTCCCTCAAGGCCCCTCCTGAATCCCAGTCCCTTCCCTTCTACAGAGAGAATCACTTTCTGCTTTAGTCTTTATTATTCCCATACTTTACTTCATAGTACGTTTCTTTCACCAAGTATGTATACATCCCTAAACAATATGCCATTTAGTTTTTGAACTTTCTGTTGTCTTTTTGAGACAAGGTCTTGCTCTGTTGCCTCGGCTGTAGTTTTCAACTTTGATGTGAAGAAATTCTCCTGTGTGGCTGCTCCTATGCTGCATTGGGTCTGAGCATTTGCTCAATGTCTATTTTCGTCCTCCATTCTCTTCCTGAGACCCATCCACATTGATATGGTTCATTTTCA